ATGGTTTTGTGGTCGGGTCGTTTGGAAAGGCTGGTTCCTTAAAGAAAAAATAACCCGCCCGCCCCGGCCCCTGCCGCCCACCCACCCACCCCCACTCCAGGCACCCCCCACACCCTACTGCAGTGCGGCTGGCAGGGCCGATGCTCCGGCCCTGTCTGTGCTGGGAAGGCAGTGAAAATGAGCACGAATCAATCTTCCCGAGAGGCGATGGGCATTAGAAGGCCGCTACCCTGTGACTAAACACACCCCTTTTATGGAGTGTTGGTGCTAATAAAGGACAGCTTATTACAGAGGCAGGGACCGGAGCCTGGATGAGGTCAGCCCTGACTGACAGTCATCAGTCATTCTTAATGATACTTTTTCCCGAGCTTTCTAAGGGATTCTGAGCAGAGTGCAAATCATTCGGGGTCATTCATAGTTCATGTACCCACAGATGGCAAAGGGTTTGAAAGACTTCAGTTTAAACTTGCAGGGGGAAGAAAGAAAGATCTTCACTTTTTTTTTTTAAGGAAGGGAAAATACCCCAAAACAAAACAGATTTTTCTTATTGGAACGTTTTCATGTTCTTTCAACCTAATAGATGTTTTACACACTACGGTGCTTGTGCATTATTAAAAGAGGCATAAATTTATGTTTTATGACGTCTGTCTTCTTTAATTATTACCTTTGATGTCTATTGGTGACTAAAGAGAGCTTAACAGGCTTTCTCTCTCTTCTTAAATTTCGTGTCGTGAAGCCCAGCTAGTCTCTGACACACGTGTGTTCCTCACCTTCAGGATTATTTTATAAATCCCTTTCTGATGAGCGGAAGTGTCAAATCAAGGACAGGTCATAAAGTAAAAGTATAAACCTTTTAAAGAGGGACCTTGGTAATATATAAACATTCTGCACACTATCTGAATTTTTTATGGACGAAAGAAAAATTATATTTCAGCTGTAGGAAGGGAGAAGTTTAAACATCAGCCTGTGTTTTAATGTATGATTTTTTTTGTCCCCTCCTGCTCTTATTTATAGCCATGGAAGAAACCATTGGCTTTTCGGGGCGATTTAAAACATGTGACTCAATGTGGAGCCTGCCTGTTAAACGTATGTGTTTAAATCCACAAGGCTGACTTTGAGACTTTGAGTCGACCCTCGAACACGGTGTTGTAAACCCAGGGACATGCTGGCTGCGGGGGGCGGAGGCCCGGGGCTTTGTCCTTTCCTCGATTTTCTTCTTTCCTTCCCCAGCCTCAGTTTCCTTATCTGCAAAGGAGGGTGCAGGCGGGTGAAGGGCCCCCAGTGTGTCACTGTCCTGGGAGTCCACAGTCCATCCGATCCACTGTGTGGCACCCTGAGGCGGTCACAGAGCAATAGCTGCCCCTGTGCTGTTTTTAAAAGCTCGGTGTGCTCAGAGAATTGGCATTTGGAAAAATTTGGTTTATTTTTACTTATAAAATTGGAAGTAAGCTGAAACCAACAACTTCTGGGCCCTCCTGCCATTCCGTGTCAAGGCACATGGAGACCGGTCACCACACGGAAGCCCCCGAGGCTGCAAGGGCTGGGCGCGCACCCTGGTGGTGCCCAGGGCCGGGGGTGTGCTACCCAGCTGCCCGCCCTGCTCTGTCCTGGAAGAGGGGGCTGGGGACACAGCTGTAGCTTTTTACGGAGAAGTCGCCTGCGCTCCTTTGCTCCAGAAAGAGAGGGCGTTTGGAAGCGAGTTCAGCGTTTCCTGATCACCTGCTGCGTGCGGGCAGAGGTGAGTAAACCAGTGCAGCTCACGGGGTGTGAAGTGGCTCTTCACAGTCCCTTCCTCTGCAGGTGCGACCTGTGACGTCGTGAGTGGGTCTCTCCTCTACACTCGGGCCCCCCACCCTCAGTGTGCCCTTCCGGACACCGGAGGCAGCCTTCCAACCTCAGCTGGTCTTCGGAAGCAAAGAGTTAGGGCCCCGTTGGCGCGGTCGCGGCCAGGCGTGCGGTGCTGACGGGGAGCGGCCGACCGTCTGCCCTGGTGCCGATGGGGAGCGGTTTCCCGAGGACGGTTGTGTCTCGTGTGCTCACCCTCCTGGGCAGCCCGTCTGCTCAAAGGCTGCGTCCAGGTGGTGGGTTTTACTGGATGTTGTTGATGGCGAAAGATAGGGGCACCCGAAGCCGCAGGCTGCCTGAGAACAGGGTGTCCTTGCTGGTTTGCGGGCATGGTTGATAAGAAGTTGGCTGAATGAGGGCCACGTGGTGGAGAGGCAGCCCGCACTTCACTCGGCGTTGTCACCTGCGTGAATGTCCAGCGTCAGCCCGTCCGTTTGGGCGGAAAGCTAAATGGCGAGTTTGGAAATAAGCGCTGTCGGTAAGACAACCCCTGTAACGGGGACCAGGCTTGCAAGATGTAACCCAGCCGCACCGGGGGCCAAACCAGCGGCATATTTCCGAGGCGCGGTCATCCACACCAATGTAAACATTCGTCTGCCGTGTCCGAATGTCTTGAAAATCCAGAGCAAGCGAGTCCTGATAGGAAGAAAAAGCATTTGGATGTGGCCGTGCTGTTTAATTTTCCTTCTGCAGGCTGTACATATTCTGTCTCCAAGTAACGGGTTTTCCCCTCTCCCTCCTCACCCCCTTCTGTTTTTCCAGAACCTTCCACCCGGCCCCACGGGAGAGCCCGCTGAGTCCTCCCTGCCCTCCCAGTCGCCCTCGGGAAGGATCTCTCAGGCCTGTGTTATCTGTTTGTGAGGCAGCCCAGGCCCCAGACTTAAGTCATGGGTTCTGGCTACAAGTTAGAGTGTGATTAATAATTGACTAATGTAGCTTTTATTTATCACAGGCTAGCACATTTCGCCATTACTGAGTTAATTTATGTTAAGTGTGAGCTGTCGTTCAATCTGTTTTTCAACTTTTTTTTTTTTAATCCTAAGTCTATCTTTCACTTTTTGAGAAACAAAATCCTCATACAGGGCACAGGCTCGCTCGGTGCCAAAAAGTTGATTTCCTCCTCCCCGGAGCCATCCATCACCAGCCCTCCCAGCTGCACTGTCAGCCCGTGACAGAATGACATGTGTCATTTATCAAAGGGGCCAGGCTGGGCCTTGGGAAAGGCTGCCGACAAAGCCTGAGAGAGTTCATTTTGCAGTCCCTCCTACCCTCTGCGAAGCCCTTTGCCAGGAAAGCCTGTGATGTTTCTGTCTTCACCACGTTACTGTAAGTCCTTCAGCCGCACAGAGTTAACCCTCGGCACGCAGCCGCACGGCCTGGCCCGGCCTGGGAGCCCCCGCCCGCACCGGGGACCCTCGTGTGGAATCATCCCGGGACTGCCGCCTCTCCCTCCTCCCCACTTTTTTTTGCAGGCTTTGAGAATTTAAAGCTGAAGTTTTTACCAGCAGAGCAGAAGGTCTGAGACACCAGGAAGAGCGAGGAAGACGCCGTTCCCTCGTGACCAAGGCGCAGACCCCCTTTCTGCCGCTGCCGTTCGGTGGTGTGTGTTGGAGGACTGAGTGTTTCGCTGCAGGCTGGTTCTGAAGGCACAGACTAAAGATAAAGGAAGGATGTTTCTGTCTTTCTCTGTGGCTCAGAAGCTGTGGGCTGACCGATGCTGGGGGGCTGGGGGGGTGAGGAAGGAAGCAGAGAGGGGCTCTCCTTACCACCCCCCAGCCTGTTTACTGTTCATCTGAGTCCCTAAACCACCAGAAGACAATGAAAAAGTGACAAGAAAAAAAAATCTGCCAGAGGGGATCCCTGAGTTAAAATATAAAAATGCATTTGGTTAAAACAAGGCCTTTCTCCCCCCTGGAAGGGAACGGTTTTGCATTTGAATCCTGTGTGACAAAAGTTACTCCCATCCCCACCCCCTCGGACTGGACTGTCCTCAGCCCCAAGGTTATTTACAGCTTCAGATATCATTTAAAGAGATAGCTGAGCAGACTGTTGCCTCAGCCAGGAACTTTCCAGAAAGAAGTCCTATAAATTAGCCAGTGCTCAGGAGTGGCTGCTGTCGAGGCGGCCCTTCCGTTTGTCTGCATCAGGCTAATTTATTTCTGCAGCCAGATGTGGGCTGACAGCCATCACTCAGAGCCTCCCTTCCCCACCGTCCCCGGGTCGGGAAACCAGTCACGTTTCCCATTTTGCAGAATCCCCATCAACATTATTGAAGATGGATGTATCTTTAAAGCGAAGATTGATTGTGGATATCGGCGTGATGGTGCCATTCATCATGGTGAATATTATTTAGACTTGGGTTGTACAAGGCTGTAACTTGAGACCCAGCCAGGGGAGGGACAATCTGGAAACTCGAATCCGTGAACTTTAATGGATGGATGCTTTTTTCAAAGCTCAACTCACTATAGCGTGATTTACTTTTCTTACAGAAAGGAAACAAGCATTGCAGTGTTAAAGGGACAGCGTGCTGGATTGTCCTGTGCGGTGGGTCCTCCCCGACCCACCCCGCTGGGGGGTCAGGGGACAGTCAGCCCTGGCGGAAGTGGCTGAGACACCGTGGCCACACAGCCTGGGGCTGCACACATGTGCCTGCAGGGCCACTTTCCAGATCTTCATGCCCTTACGGGGCTCTGAGAACATTAGAACTTGGGCTGCACCCCAGGGCTCACCGGGACCAGGGGTACAGAGCCGGTCATTGGAAACCAGTGAGCCTCTCTGAGTGCTGCGGGAGGGCCCGTTTGTACTGGGGAAGAAAAATGAGGCCAAAACGCCTCTGCGTCAGGGGCGCGAGGCTTTGGAGAGAAGGTTCCCCTCCCTCCCAAGGCCTGAAGGTAGCAGCATCTGCCCGGGGAGACGTCCGTGGCGTAATTAACATCAGTCTCTCCGGCTCGCCCGCGCCGTGGCATGTCACCGGAGGCTGCCCAGCTGGGAGCTCCATGGCCCTTGCTCCTGGGGTCAGTTTGTCAGAGGCAGAACCTGCCAATGATGGTGCCCGTCCCCTACTCTTAGAAAACCCGTGGAGCGGGACCATCTAGTGGCTGCAGCCTTCCTCCTCAGGGTGGCTCCTCAGGGCCCAGAAGTTCGTGCACAAACACAGAGGACTTTCTCTCTGATGCCTCAGTCGTCCCATCTGCCCGAACCTGGGCTGGAAGGGCCACCGCCAGGGTCATGGCTCTTCTGCCCTTAACACACCGCCTGTGTTGGAGATGTCGCTCACTTCTGTGTCAGGGGGTTGCTTGCCTGCGGGTCTGGAGGGGCCGCTGGCAGTGGGGGTGTGGCCGCTGCAGCCTGCACCCAGCACCTTCCCACGGGCCCCAGCGCCAGGCCTTCCCAGCGAAGCCATGTCACTCTGGCCTGCAGGGGCCTCTGCCACTGGCCAGAGTGCTACGTGCTGCCACAGCTGTGACGCTCGGTGTGACTGAGGATCCTACCTGCCTGGCCCCCGTGGTTTCCAGACATAGACGTGTCCTTGGGACGGTGCAGCACTCAGAACAACAAGTTCTCTCTTTTCTGCACTGGGAATGCCTCAGTTTTTGGAAGGTGTGCGGGCCAATGGTGTGAATGTTTGAACAGGCGGTGCCTGTGCCACGTGGGGGGACCCATCGGAACGCTGGTCTGTCTGAGAGGTCAAAGCCTGTCCCGTCTGTGTACCCAAGAGATGCCAAGCTCCCTAAGGGCAGGGGTGTGCGGCCCCCCATCCTCCCCACCCGAGCCCAGCTCCGTCAGAGCTTGTCCAAAAGCTAAACGCCCTCCGTAGCAGGCCAGGGGTGTCCGGTCCGTGGAGACCAGGGTGGGTGCCGTCAACGAGAAGAGGCGAAGAGACGAGGAGCCCTTTCCATGTTTCAAAGAGCCAACCCAGGTTGGGCGGGGCGACGGTGCGTTTGGGGGCAGCCTTCCCTGTCAGGTCCCCCCGACCTTCAGAAGAGACGACCAAAGCTGAGTGGACCGCAAGATCGGAGTGGAGAGAGAGGGCGTGGAGAACAGCCACCACCTGCTCTGAAGGTGGGGAGACAAGGTAAAAGAACCCCCGGAAATTCCGGGCTGGTCCCGTCACTGCGCCTCCCCAGGTAGGTGCACCCAGGACCACACCCGGCCGGGCCGGCAGCGCAGGTGCCCACATCTCCGGCCCGTCTTCTCCTTGTAAGCTCCGTGTTTATTTGCAAGTTAAAAGCACATTCCTGGCCTTTGAGGAGCCTATGAAATGTCTGCAAACAGGAAGCAGTCTATCAAACGCTCATGAATCATGGCGCCCGTGACGCCGGCCGAGGTCAGATCATTACACTAAATATATCGTGAGTATTATTAATGCCCGGGGTCCTCTGCCGTCTTTGTGCCGCGGGACCGCCGTCTGCTGATCCAGCACCGTGTGGTGGTGGAAGCTTCCGCAGAGCCCCCCCAGCTCGCAGTGGCCGGCAGGTGCTCAGGAAGTGTGACCTGGGCCCAGTGACACACCCCACGCAGGAGCCCAGGCGCCCGGGAGGATGGCAAACAGGGACAGAAGGGACTGAACTTCAGCAGCCGCCCCTGTGCCTCTGAGAGGAGGCCATATTTATCACGGCGCATTATGGAGAGCAGCAAATGTCACGAAAACCATTGTTTTTTAATTTTTTTTCTGGGAGCGTTTGAATGAGGTGATTTATGGTAGTTATCCATCTTACGGGCCATCCGTCATGTTTTAGTTGCTAGGCAATCAAACCAGCAGCTGTTTGCTTTGCATCAAGATGAAACGTTGTCAGTCACCACACGCAGGTATGACCTTAGAGGTGGAGCCCCATGCGTGCTGTGTGCGCCGCCGCCCCCGACCGCCCTGTCGTGGCTGCCGCCGCTGCAGGGGCCTGTCCTCATCCTGGTCTTGCAGGAAGAAAAGGAACAAAGGAACAGGTGGGTCGTCGCTGGCTGGAAACTGGGGACCCCGCGTCTCACTTGCCCGGGGTGCTGTCCCGGGGGGTGGATGCCGCCAGGGGCTGGGAGGTGAAGCCGTGGGAGTGCCCGTGGGTGCCAGTCCCACGTGGTGGGTGCGTGGCCACGCCTGGGCCCACTGGGACCTCCTGTGGAGCTGTGTGGGGTGGGGCCCCAGCCTTTGCCCTGTGTCTTCCGGAGGTCACCCGCCTGGTGCGTTGTCCACCATAGGATGTCTCCGGGTCCCGACTTGGGGAGCTCATTTCTCAGCAGGCGTAGCACGCAGTTGCCGTGTGAGCCGTGAGACCTGCCCCTGCCCTACAGCATCAGACACGGGGGTGTGGACATTGCTCCAAACAAGGAAGAACAAATGCACGTGAAAACACGCCTTTGTCATGGGAGCCAGATTCTGCCTTTTGTGAACACCCCGGTGTGGGGTCTCCCCACCCCTCAGTGGGTTTGTGAGGCAGCCACACAGGTACTTGGCACCACAGTTTGGGGGGTTGCCTGGCACGGAGTGTGTCTCCTCGACTTCAGACTGGGTGGTCTCTGCTTGGTTTTCTCAGGGGGGTGCAGAGCGAGTGCAGTGTTTAGAGCTGCGAGAGCTCTGGCGTGGATCTTGGACAGTCTCAAACGGACTGAACTTGGGAATCAGGTCTGCCTCACTCTATCTTGTCTCCCAAGCTTGTACATGAGAAGTCTGTCCAGAAGGTGTCCAGCCAGGCATCTGAAAAATGGAGACATTTACCGAAGAAGGTACAAGAACATTATACACAGGACAATGACGCCCCAGTCCCCTTCAAAGTGGGCACCTTGGGGCCTCACCCAGTTCTCCCAGTTGCCATCAGCTGCTCTGTTGTATTTTCTGGGATCTCATCAATGGTCTGAAATCTCTTTCCTTTCAAAGGCGATTTTAGCTTTGGAGAAAGCCAAAAGTTGCAGGGCGCCAAAGCTGGGCTGTAGGGGGGCTGAGTCACCTGGGTGATTGGATGTTTTGCCAAAAACACTCTGTATGAGACGGGATGCATGAGTGGGTGTGTTGCTGTGATGAAGCTGCCCGTCACCAGTTGTCCGTGGCTGTGGCCTTCTGAGTCATCTGAATAGTTTCCACAGAGGAAAGTTCAAGCTTAATATAAATTTGATGCAGATTCGTTGCTGTACTCTCTCAGTCACTTTGAATGTGATGGCCACACAGTGCACATGCTCACTCAGCAGCGTCTACCACCCCCACTGACTGGTACAGTGAAGTCGTCCTTGTTCACACATGCGCACTCCAGTCCACTCTCCTGGGCTGCCAGGAAACAACAATGTCACACACACCATTCTCATTATATTAACAGTGGCTGGGCTTTTTCTGGACAGACTTCATATATATTTTTATTTATTGTTAGGATTTTTGAGGGCCTGATACATTCCCTTCTAGCGACTGTTCTGTCCGTCGGGAGAGAGTTTTCCAGTCACAGCCCCTCGGGTACCAGGTTTATATGGGACCCCAGATGCGACAAACTAGAAGGGCCCCCTCCATCCACCCCAGACAGCAGACAGGACAGTCCGGGAGAGCCCTGCCACCCCTCACCTGAAGCCCTCAAGGCCAGACATGTTTCGGAATTCGGGGTTTTTCAGAGTTCAGAAGGAAGCCCAGGGCCCATACTGCACGTTTTGCAGTGTCCTCAGCACGGTGACATGTGAGTGCAGCTGCGGTAAAGTGTGGGACTCTTCACACCCCCGAGGGTGAAAAAAGAACATGTGTGTGCTCACGGCCTCGGGTCAGCTCAGACCAGGTTGGACTTGATGAAGCGAAGTTAAGACGAACTTGAAGTTCCCTGTGTGGACTTTGGACTAGTGGCGAAGGACAGCCCCGGGGCCTGGGGTCCGTTAGGCAGCACGGTGGCTGTCTCGGCAGGTCTGACTTCCTGGCTGGTCGCCTCCTCTCTGGTGTGCGGGGGTTCCCTTTGGCGTTTTTGCCCCACGCCCATGGAGAAAAGTGCTGTTGGTTGGTTCTGCACCCTCCCAAAGATCTCCTGGTGACCTGGGTAAGACCGGGAGCCGTGGAGACGCAGGTCACCCTCGAGTCTCTCGTGTCCCCTCACGTCCAGTCCCTGTCCCTTTGCGGGCAGGACTGGAATTCCTCATGTAGCACAGTGGGCTTAGGAAGGAGGACCCGGAAAACTCCCCTTAACAACGCGCCAGTGCTGCCGTTGCTTCTCATGGAGACTGTGCGGACACAGGGCCGACCTAAAACGTACTCTGCCCGTCATTCCAGCTCCGCAGCAAAAACACGAGACAAAGCACGCGCCTGCCAGGTTCCGGGGGTCGCAGATGATCTGGTCACTTTTTTTCCAGCGGGCGGGGGCAGGTAGGATGCATCAGCCCAGCGGGTTCAGACTGGAGATGAGCAGTCGCCCCCAGAATTCGGGGGCTTACAGAACCCGGTGCAGAAACTTCCTCCCCAGGGGGATTCTGCCGGGCTCCCCTGTACTTCCGCGGTTGCAGACGTACCTGTGGCCGTTGACGAGGCACCAGCCTGTCAGGCAGCTCGCTGGCTGGGGGGCTTCTCCGTGCAGGCGGTTGGGAGGAATGATTCCTTGATAATTAAAATATTTTTAAAAACTGCTTTAGGAGACTCAGGAGCATGCGGGGTTACTTGCACGTACGGCTTTATCTTTTGTGGTGGCTGTTTTTAAAAAGCTCTGTGAAATGCAAGGCCACCCCAGGAGCTTTGTCCCCTCTTGGATGCTGTGAGTGTCACTGAGGAGGTGCCCACTTCCTTTTTGTGAAGTCAGATGTTTTGGGGTGACATTGGTTAGTGAGACTACAGGTTTCGAGTGCACGTGCTATGATGCATGATCTGTACATTGCACTGTGTGCCCACCACCTAGAGTCGAATCGTCTTCCGTCACCGCGTATTTGAGCCCCTGTTCCCTGGACTGTCTCCTACCCGCTCCGGTCTCATAACCACCATACCGTCATTGTCTGTGCCTAGGAGTTTAGGTCTGTCTGTCTGTCTGGTTTGTTTGCTTGTTGCTTTCACGTCTGTATCCCACAGACGGGTGAAGGCGTGTGGTTCTGGTCTTTTTCTGCCGGACCTGTTTCCCTTAGCATGGTGTTCTCCAGCTCCATCCGTGTTGTAAACGTCAGTATCTCGTTTCTGGTTCCGTCGTCTGCAGAGCTTCCTCAGCTGATCAGAGGAGACACTTCTTTTCAACAGGCCCCTCTCTACACGCAGAGAAGCTGAGGTACACATTCTCCACGTTTGGTGGGTTGCATTGCCCGTGAGCACACAGTGACCAGCCACGGGCTGCCCAGGACAGCCCTGGCCTTTCAGTGGGCCGCATCTTCCAGCGAGCCCGCCGTGGGCCGCAGGGGCACGACAGCCCTGAGAGCTCCCTCGTGGGGGCTGAACTCACAGGCGCAGGCGCCCTGCTCGCCCGGCTCCTCCTCTGACCCCCACTTCGTCTCGTCCTTGGCTCTTGTCCACTTGCGTCTCTCTCCCACCTCCTCTCCCGATTTTTAGCAACACTCTGGCTTTAGAAATGTTCCTCATAAAATTTGTGCATAGTTTTAAAAGTTATTTTGCAGTATCTTGAGCTCTTCAGAGGACAATTGCTCCAAAATCTAATAAGTCATAATAAATATAGTTCCGGACGACGGGGACAGTGACGATGCGCTGGGAATAATAATAGCTCTGCCAGGCTTTGCGCCGTTATTTGAAAGGGTTTTTTTTCCCCCATTAAATTTTGTGTCTTCTGTATATGAGTTGGCCTTCATTATTGTGCTTTTATGCTAGTTGGTTGGTTACCAACTCGAATTAAGAAAATGCTGTGTGGTTCTTGATAGTCCCATTAACTTTCTGTTAAATATGAGATATTTATACACGCACACTTCTATAAACTTAGTTCAAGGGTATCAGCAAAAATATTTTTTCTGTTCACATTTGCTGTTCATAAAACACTCGAGGGAGAAATTGTTTCCGCGATACTTCAGATGGGTTTTTAAATAAATTTTAGATATTGTGGTGCACCGCAGTGCCTTTTATTTCATTTTCTCGGTAGACGCAGCGCACTGAAAGACTTCGTCTGTTGAAAAACTGCCTTTCCTGAGAAATAATTATTAGTTTCTTTCACTTTGGAGTAATAAAGGCGGATGCGGCAGCACCAGGGCCTCCCTGCCTGTGAGTTGTGCGTGTCCCAGGCCTGTGCTGGGTGGGAGGTGTGTCCCACTCGGCATCTCCCGAGAGGTGGGGGATGGAGGCTCCGGCAGCATCCTTTCTGAGGGCGGCCGGGCTGCATTCCCTCCTTCTCGAGCCAGGCGGTGGCAGGAATAAGAAGTGAACGTGGACGTTAAAAGTACAATTCCGTTGGCTTCTTGACACGTGGAGTTGAGTCACTGCCTCTCCCTGTCACCTTTCTGGGGGTGTCGCGGGGTGACCCCACATTGTGCCTGGATGCAGAACAATGGCATGGTTGTACTGTCGACACCAACGTCAACCAGCTCTGGACCCTGCAGAGGTCCCATCTTTTCTTCAGAAGTTGGATTTCTCCACGGTGAGCCACGACCATAAAAACTGGCCCCGCTTCCCACCTCGTTTGCTCATTTCTCCAATTGCTGGTTCATTCATTGGTTTATTTATCCAATAAATACTTACTCTGACTACCTGCTCATTTCCAGCAATTCTCGGAGGGGATGGAGCTCACGGCCGAGTTAGAGCATTTTGAAAGCGAAAGCGGTTATCAATATTAACTTTATATAAAATATTTTATTATGCATCCCGTGGATGTAAAAGTTTCATTGAGTAATGAAATAAATGTTATCGGGATTGAAGATGGGAAACAAAAAATCTATTTTCCAATTTATCTCACCTGCCTTTTCTTCTTTGCCGTCACATAATTCAGCCCTGATCTGCCTCCTGCCTTCGCCACGGTCAGTGGGGAACACGCTCTGTTTTCTGCAGAATCTGCTCGGAGGGCTTGCCTCTCTTCACG